CTTCAAAATACCAAATTAAGATCAAAGAGGCATTGCATATTAAGTGGGAAAAACCTATCCTTAATCAGCAATTGAAACATCTAGAATTGTCTCTTTCCTTTTAATGATGTTGTTCCTTGGTCTTTTAATTTATTTTTATTATTATTACATTTATTTATTTATTTTTTATTTATCTATTTATTTTTTGATCTAGTCAAGCGCGCGCTATTTACATCTTTCGCGTTTTTAACATTCAAATGTAACGTAAGCACTGACACGTAGTTTGTAACGTACCCTAATTTAAATTCAAATGTACAACAGTTAAATGCTCATTTGCAACTGAAGATGACATGAGAATGTCGAAACATGTCTTGTAAATTTAAACTCAAAGTTGTTGTTCCTTTTTTGAGAGTTACTACTATATTATAATTTTTTTGTCACTAATGTGTTTATAAATAGATGTGCTTTTCGTGTAAAAAGAAGAAGATAGTAAACTTTGAGCTTGGTACAGAAATAGAGAAAGAAGCTTTTTTGTCTTGTCGCGAGGGTGGGACAACAAAAGAATTCTAAATTTGATTCATTATGAGGACTCTTAGGTGCTTTTTACTCCCCTAATAAGGAAGTTATTTAATTATTATATTTAAAAAGACCACAAATGCAACTAGTATTAGCCCTGTGAGTAATGTGTTCTTGGTGACGTAATACTGTAATTGTAATGTAGTCTAAGGTATTTGGTGGCACAATTTAGTGGAAAGAGGCATTGGGTTGCATGAAAAAAAAATTCTGTCAGTGCGAAAATCTTGTAAATAGTTCTAATTTTTTCCATATGTAATATTACAATTATCAGCAGAGTATAGTGTAATAATAGTAAAGTTTGTTGTAAGTTATGTGCTGCATATGCATACCTGAAGGATAAAATTAAAAGAAAATGTGTCTGAAGACCAAAGGTACAGGTGCTTTCTCAACCAAAGATAAGTTTATTTATGTGTTGTGTTTCAATTGTAACTTTGATGGAAGTGTGTATTTTCCTTTTTTTGGAAGTGTATCATAGTGCATATGTTGTAGGTCAATTTGTTCTTTAGGTAAATTTGTTTCAAACTAGGTTAATTTGTTCTCAACATAGGTCAGTTGCTGATGTCTGTCTGTCTGGTTTTTTTTTGGCTGTATTGAGATGTCTGGAACCTGAAATTATACTAAAACAATTATTCGCCTCAGATTCCAGACATCTCAACACAGCCAAAAAAAAAAAAAAAAACAGACAGACAGACATCAGCAACTGACCTAGGTTGAGATCAATTTAACCTAGTTTGAAACAAATTTACGTAAAGAACAAATTGACCTACAACACATATAAAACAAAAGGTGAATAGGATTATTTGATTTAAATTAAGAGAGTTAAGTTTAGTGAGAAAAAGTGAAAATTTTTGAGAAGGAATATAGCCAAGATTAACATTAAGTTTTTAGCCTTCTGCCTTATTGTTGTCATAAATTTTTAACCCCTACCAGGATAGACATCGAACTTCGTTTTGAGAAGGCTTACTGTCTGTATCGTCTCAACAAAACTCAAGAGGCTCTAGATATTCTCAATGCCATTGCTGAACCAACACAAGCTGAGAAGGAACTGAAAGCTCAAATGGTGAGAAGCCTAATTTTATACAGAATGATAATGTGCAGTTTCAAAAAAAGAGAATCTTTTTGTTTTCCATATCAAGTCAAACAAAATAATTTAATCTTTTATACTAACACTTTGCCTTAGTACAGAAAAATAAATTTTTGGCACTATTTTCCTTGTTATAGCTATATAGGCTTGAGGATTACAGGACCTGTTTGGATCTCTATAAAGATTTAATCAAGAATTCTCAGGTAAACACGACTAGGTCTTTTAAATGCTATAACCAGCTTGAAACATTTGCTGGGCAAAATTTTTTAAAGATGCTCAAATTCTATATCACTCCTAAAGCATGCCTGTTATCTATTTAGACTGTATAACATTCCAGGGTTTTCAATAAGATTTTGAATAACTGAACTATGATACAAAGTAGGCAGCACAATGCCGTGCTTTCATGGGCCACAAACGTTTGAAATACCTGGTATGTTTTTTCATTGTAAGTAAACAGGGATATGCACTAGTTGCCTGCTTGGTTTGACACCCTGACACCATCTAGTAAACAACCCACACATACAGCTAAATAATTATGAAGTGAAATTTTTCTGATCCTGATTATGAGTTCTTATATTCTGAGTCAAATCTTTCAAATTGCTTTTTTTTGTCTCTTCATTATGAGTTATGATTTACTTGTGATTACTGATTATTTCCATTGTCACTAATAACTCTCGATAGGATGAGTATGGGGATGAAAGAGAAGCTAACCTTGCTGCTGTTATTGCTGCTGCATCACAGTGGGGAGGACTACAAATGGTATCTGTCTGATCTGATGTTGTAGAACTACTGGGCCCAGTTGTACTAGGGGGGATAATCATGCTACCCTAAAAATAAATTACTATCTAGCAGATAAATGATAGCAAAACATACTGTGCTATCTACTGTTATCCAGCCTTTAAACAACCACGGTCAGGTGTACGTGGAGCTCTTGCTAACTTTCTTTTTCGAATTGAAATGAAATGAAAAACTTTATTTAAGTGTCTATGTTTTTAGCTATAAGCTAATGGGGGACACTAAAAAATTTAAAAGTCACTTACATTTACATATGTAGATGATAGTTTTTTACAGTAGATAATTTAAATAGATTATTAAAGTTATTTAGTTAAGTTTTAAATTTCAACGAGAGTTGAAAGGTCGACTTTTCTTACGTTCTTCTTGAACGAATTTAGAGTTTCTATCGTTCTTAGGTGTCTTGGTAACTTCGACCAGATGAGAGGTCCCATATATTTAATAGAATTCCTACCAAATCTTACAGTTTTGAATCGTGGCTGTTCAAAGTCACTGTTCCGTTAATTATATTGAGTGTTCTTTATATTAAATAAGTCAGAAATATTCTCAGGTTCGAGACTGTTCTTAACTTTAAACATCAAAGTGGCAATGTCTTGTAAGCGCCGATTGTTCAACGTCGGTAGTTTGGCGCGACTTAGCAGTTCTTGATAGGACGCTGATCTAGTTTTGTACACCGCCCTAAGTGCTCGCTCCTGAATCCGCTCAAGCTTTCTCCGATCCGATGCATTACAAAAGTGCCATACTAAATGACAGTAGGTTAGATGGGGCAGAATTGAAGACCGGTAAAGTGATAGTTTAGCATTACTGGGTATCAAATTGCATAGCCGCACTAGGATCCCTACTTTTTGACTGGCCTTAGAGCATAGATCACTGATATGACTAGTAAACTCAATTTTTCATCTATTTGAACTCCTAAAAGCCGTATTTCCCCCATTCTGTTAATAGTATGACCATCAAAAGAAAAATTTTGATTATCGTTGTCTTTGTCAACATTTCTCGGGTTGATCGCTAATAGCTGGAACTTTTCTGGGTTGGTTGAGAGATAGTTGTTCTTGG